GATGAGAAGATTAATAGGTCACTCATATTTTAGAGTAACAATCTTCTTATTTTCCTCACCATCAAAAAGCTAATAAGCATATTTCCCAAAATGTCAAACTTAACCTTGGTGATCTACTGAGCATTGTATCACTGAAGGTGTAAAATATAATACATTTCGATGAACCATGCAAATGATGTGGATGCAAAATGTGCCATTATAGGTAATCACAACGTCAAGAGAAGCAGGAGACATTGTGTTTTGAGATGCAGATTATGCAAAAGTCGCTGTCACTACTGCTAAGGAATCCAAAAATGTTCATCCCTTGTACAAACGTGAGCTTGAGAGTGGAAGCATCTGTATGCATTCAGTGTGGTTTTCAGAATTAAATACTTAAGATGGTCCCAAAAATAGCCTAACATTGGTCTTGAATGTCTATACTGAGAGTGTACGGAAGGATGCCGGTTCCTTAGTATTCCCTGTATACAGCCCCCAAAAGAGACTCATTAGATCATTAAATCTCAGCATGTGGTTCTACTCAGAGCATAATGAGTGCGATTTACCCACGACATGATAGTTGCAAAAGACTGAACAACTCGGCCTCTAAACCGCTCTCCTCTCACCTCAACACATGATCTCATACTATATATCTGCTGGCCGGGGCTCTTGGGCTTTGACTCTCACAGGATGCACAAGGAGGAAATGTTCTCTGTTCAAATTTAATTTCCGGGATTCATTATCCTCAGATTCTTGACATATATCACAACAATACACGTTATGCATATTATTTATAGTACACATTACCTACAAGATAAAGTAGAGCCATCGTTATTGTTCGGGGTTGTGTTCTGCATTTGCAACCACTCTGTCCTTCTCAGAGCTTCTTTAATGTACAGTTTCTTGTGCAAAAGATTTTTTAAAGTTTCCAAACAAACAAACATATGATGTACAGAAAAGTCACTACAATCCAAGCTGTGGGGAATGTGTGGTGTAAAAACTAAAATTATTATTATAAATAATACAGATTTAATCTGGATACCGATGACAGTCCTTAAACATGTAGGATCATGAACATAAAACTGATTGTGCATTCAGATAAAAAGTTGAGCCTTTTTTGAATAGAATAGCTTGACCCCTTTCGTATTGCATGTTCACACTCGTACCGCTGGCTCCTGTTCTACTTTTGTTTGACAGGATGAAGACATTAACTGTCTCTCTTCCCGAAAAAGCAATAATCGGCACCTCGGCAGATCCAAACAACATCTTGAGGAGCCACTCAATTGAAAAATCAACATCTTCAATTAAACAAATGGCCTACTATTAGTGCTGCTGAATATGAGCATACTGATGTCGGCAAGATTTACACCCTCTTCATTTCTCCCCTGGCAATGAGTGGGAGTGGGAGAGTGACTGCATGGACCTTTTCGAGCATGGGAGTGTTGGCACTGAACAGATGGATTGCATTGTGAATTGAAATGTAAGCTTGTAAAGACCAGATGGCTGCCACGGATCAGGCCTTCCCTATATGCTGTTAGTCTTGACAGAGAAATACCAGAAGTTTTTTAAATACCAGCTGATTGGAGAATATCGCCTTCGAGGTTTCCATGGAGAGGAGGGAAACATTCCCAGGGTGCAGACTAGTATATGTAGGGAGTTAGTGTGTAATAAACAGGCTTTCTAAAGACTAATGACTGCTTGATGATTCAATAATCTTGCCATCATGAAGTGAGCAAACCAGACACTGTATATTTGTTGTTTTCCAAGGAAGTATGCTTTTGCGGACAAATAAAACAATATATTAAATAAATAAAACATGATAAAATGTTTTCTATGGTGCCCTTCCAGTAGATAAAATGTGATAAAATGTCCTCTAGGGTTTCCTTCCAGTA